ATCCACTCACCTCAGCCTCCCAAAGCACAGGATTACAGGCTGAGCCACCGAACCTGGCTTGTTCTCTAATTTATGACTCCAACTTCCCACCCATGTCCAAAGATAAGAGTTATGTTTACTCTTACAAAAAAGATAGTACACATTTTTGCCAAGCAGCTTATTTTGAAAGGAAATCTGTGTTTCTGGTCTCAGCCACAGGAGGGAGATGACCAAGGGAATGTCATCATTTGGAAAGTGTCACAAAAAGATGCATACGTTGTGCTGCTGCTGTGGCTCTAAGGCCTGCCTCCTTCAGAAGTCAACCTGAGCTATCCAGTCAAGCACAGGAGAAAGTATTATGTGTGCCAAGGCTTAAAGATGAAATACCACTGAGTCTTGTTCAATGGGGCACCTAAAAATTGGTATACCACAGCTTCAGGCATAGATTCTGTGAAGGAACACTTAAACCTGAGAAGGCAGCTGCTGCAGCACCCAGTTTGTCTTAAGAATTTCAGGCTGGGTGCAGTGGTTCATGCCTGTAATTCCTTTGGGAGGCCAAGGTGGGAGAATTGCCTGAGACCAGCCTGGGCAACATACCAAGACATCGTCTCTACAAAGAATAAAAAATAATTAGCTGTGTATGGTGGTGTGTGCTTGCAGTCCCAGCCAGCTACTGGGGAGGCTGAGGCAGAAGGATCACTTGAGACCAGGAGGCCAACGCTACAGTGAGCCATGATCATGTCTTTGCACTCCAACCTGGGCAACAGAGCGAGACCCCAACTCAAAATAAAATAATAATTTTAAAAAATTAAAAAAAAAAACTTCCAATAACTAGTCATACATAAATGTTCTGGTTTTAAAAAAATAAAATTTAAAAGAAAATCCATAGGTTTTCCACATTAAAAGAGGCACAGGCTAGGCACAGTGCCTCAAGCCTGTAATCCCAGTACTTTGAGAGGCCAAGATGAGGGGATTGCCTGAGCCCACGGGCTCAAGAACAGCCTGGGCAACTTGGTGAGACCTCATCTCTACAATAAATCAAAAACTTAGCTGATGTGGTAGCGCGCGCCTATAGTTTCGGCTACTTGGAAGGCTGAGGTGGAAGGAGCCCAGCAGGTCGACACTGAGGTGGCCGTGAACAGCATGCCACTGTACTCCAGCCCAGGCAAGGAGTGAGACTCCAACTCAAAAAAAAAAAAAAAGGGGGGGGGGCACAAATATACATTTACATTAAGTATAATGTACCTTGGGTGTTGATATTATTTTAACAATTTCCATGATCTCATACTTATGCTATTTATCACTCATTTCATGGATCCCTGAGGGCTCCTAGCCAACAGAAAAGGACTGTGATACAGCAAGAAGCTGCATGGGGAAGAGTAACAGGTAAATACACCGTATGATTAAACACAGACTCCTTACTATGTCAGACTCTTGTGATCCTTTTGGAATACTGGGTAACACCATTTCACCAGAAGAGTCTGATATTGGGACTTGCTGAGTGATAAAGGTTTGATCTTGAAGCTTACTCTCATCCCTGCAATGACAAAACAACATGCAACCTGGTTCAGAATAGCAGACTGCTACTCTCACTCAACTCTAGCATGTTTAAGATACAAGAACCACTGTGATCAGACTCATTTTCATTAAATTAGCAAGAGTTCTTACCTAAATTCCTCTGTTTCTTCACTGTTAGAAACAACATAGTCTGGAACGGGAGGCCTAGAGCTCTGGCTGTATTTCCTGTAGTGGGTAAAAGTCAACAGACATAAATGAGGCCATGTCTCCTTGTGCCCTAATATGTCAACTAAAAATTTAGTTTTAAAGTTTTTTTAAGTTTAAAGTGTCAAGTGAAATGCTGGGTTGGATGGGCTTATTTTCAAAATGAACTTTTACACACACATAGATGCAGTATAATGTTAGGTAGGTTAATGTGTTAAAGTTGAACTCAAGAAATAGGAATATTTATGGAAGAAGAAAATGATAATACACAACAGCTATTAAGGTGAAAGGCAAGTTGAGCTAGAGTACTGACCAAAAACATGTCTAGAAAAGCTACCTTCCTGCAAAAAAAACCTTAGAACCCAGAAAGGTTACCCAATGGAGACAAGTCCATTATGAAAATTTCTCCTTATACTTTTGAAAGTTTGGGTTTAAGAACAGGAAAGAAACATATAACTAGTATATCTAGTTTGAAAGTGAACTTAGTAGAGTTATAAAAAGTATGGCAGGTTGATGTGCCAACAGATAGACACACACTCCATGCTCTGAAAGCTTATCCTCAATTAGGTGCTTATAAAAGCAGCATAAACCCTCAAAATCTGGCCTATTAAATAGTTTAATAATGATGCATAAAAAAATATACTTTAGATTCTAGTAGTGTCAGAGTAGTTGCAGATGCACTGTAGAGTACAGCTTGGTTATATCTTTGTCTTAGTTCAAGCAAAAAGAAAAATACTGTATTATTGGATTCACAATTATTATGTTCAGCAATCAACTGTGAACTCTTACCAACTATCTAATAATTCCACTTGCCTTGGTAGACCTTTTATCATCTAACTCCTTCCCAGTCTGGTTTCAGCTAATTTATTCTCATCCTCATCTCAAAATTTCACCATCCTATTTCTATCTTATTTTTCCTTTATCCAATTCTGACATGAAGTTCCAGCAGGCTTAGACAAGGTTCAATTATGGTTTAAGTTCATTGCTTTGTTGTGAACGATTTCGCTCAAAATCCCTTTGTCTCTCCAGTGTCGGGATCAACATGGCCTGGAAGTGGAGGCCTAGAACTCTGGCTGCATTTTCTGGAGTATATGAAAGTCAGCTCACAGTGAGGTACTGAGTACCTGTAGTCTTGAGACTACTTCCACCTCTTTAAAACTCTTTTAAAAGGTTACCAGTAACACAAAAGTCCATCATTTAGCCTACATTTTTTTTTCCTAGGGTACCTGTTTTATTTTCTTTTTGAATATGTGGGATACAATTCAGGGTGAGATATACAAATGTTTATTATGCAGATACCCTTGTTGATGAGGTGTTTCCCCCTACCCCCCTGCAGTGGTAGGAAGATAGCCTATACTTTTTTTTTTTCTTGAGTCGGGGTCTCACTCTGTCGCCCAGACTGGAGTGCAGTGGCCGCTCCCAGCCACCGCAGCCTCGACCCACTGGACTCCGGCGATCCTTCCACCTCAGCCTTCTGAGTAGCTGGAACTACAGGTGCGCGCTACCACGCCCGGCTAATTTTTGATTATTGTAGAGATGAGGTCTCGCCTGCCCAGGCGGGTCTCGAACCCGCGGGCTCAGGCAATCCACTCACCTCAGCCTCCCAAAGGCGCGGGATTACAGGCTGAGCCACCGAGCCCGGCTTGCCTATACTTCTTAAAGTTCCCTTTTGGTTGTACTTTTCTTTGTTCTCCTGTTCCTTAATTGTGGATATTCTGAAAGATTCTAACATTGGCTCTCTGCTCTCCTAGACTCAACCACCAATTTTCACTAATTATGCAAATTTTCCTTCTTAAAAATCTCATCAGTACCCTAGTCACTATAAAATGCCTTAAAGGTATATTTCACATCAATATATTAATATCATCTCTAGTTCAACATGAAAATACCACTTCTAATTCTTCTGCCTGGAATATTTGTTTCCTCTTTTTTTATTCTTATTCACCTTTTACTTTATTTCAAGAGACAGAGCCTTGTCTTCCAGGCTGTAGTGCAATGACATGACCATAGGCCATTGCAGCCTCTGACTCCTACCTCAGCCTCCCAAGTAGCTGTGACTACAGACATGTACCACCATACCCAATAAATTTTTAAAGATTTTTTTTTTTTTAGAGAATGGGGTCTTCCTATGTTGTCCAGGCTGGTCTCAAATGCCTGGGCTCAAGCAATCATCCCTCCGTGGCCTCCCAAAGTGCTGGGATTACAGGTATGAACCACCAAGCCCATTTCTTATAGAAGAGGGGAGACCCCAAAAAACCAGAATTTAGTTATTAAAAATTGTGTATTCTTACATGTTTAAACTTCAGTCACCTTCAAAGTACTCTCCATTTGATGCAATACACCTACCAAGACATTTTCCCACTGCTCAAAACAGTTTGTGAACTCATCAATTTTGATGCCTTTTAATGTTTCCCTTTGAGGATTTTTTTTTTCTTTTCCCTGAGGAGGCAATTATTATAAAATATCCATAATAGAGGACTTTTTTCATCAGGGAGACAAAAAAGTTGCCTGGGGCGAGATCTGGTGAATAGGAAAGGTGGAGCATGGGGTCAGCATTTTCAAAAACTGCTGAACACTCAGTGCAGTGTGGGCAGATGTGTTGTCAGTGTGGAAAAATCAGTGCCATTTGCCACAACTCAGGTTGTTTCTTCTACAAATCATTCCACAGCCTTCTCAGAACTTCGAGATCAAAACTTTGGTTGACCGTTTAATCCAGAGGAACAAATCACAAGTGTACTACAAGGGGCCCAAAAGATAATTCTGGTTTTTTGGGGGAATCCCCCACTTGTATATCCTTTGGAAATCACCTTAAGCTTTTACTTCCTCAGAAACTTTCTTGGCTTCCTTGGTTAGATGAAATTGCCCTAATCTAGGTTTTCATACCACAATATAATTCCTCTGAGCCTATGTCATAGTTGCACTTTTATGTATGTATTTGTGTGATTATTTGAATAATAATTTTTCTCTCCATCTAGGTAATAAACTCCCTGAGATCAGGCATGATGTCTTTATTTGCTCAATACATTATCTTCAATAAATAGTAGGCACTTAATACATATGTGTTAAATGAATTAATGGATGGATTAAATAAAATGTAATCATTTTCCTCAAACTAGCTTTTCAAATTTTCATTTATCTATCATACCACCATTCTTCCACTTTTTTTTTTGAGTTGGAGTCTCACTGTCGCCCAGACTGGAGTGCTGTGGCCGCTCCCGGCCACCACAGCCTCGACCTGCTGAGCTCCGGTGATCGTTCCGCCTCAGCCTTCCAAGTAGCTGGAACTACAGGCGCACGCTACCACGCCCGGCTAGTTTTTTTGATTTATTGTAGAGATGAGGTCT